ATATTAACATATAAGACAAAATATATTTCGTGGAGGGTAAAGGGTGATAAAGTTTCTATATGCCAAATAAAGTAGTAAAATAATGATTCTATGTAACAATGGAAGGTTAAGTATATATTTTGTAATTCCTGTGCAATCCCCAAAACATTGTATAAGTTGATATAATCAAAATCACAATACATAAACTATAATGGAATGCTAGATAATGTTTAAATAACTCAAAAGAAAGCAGAAAAGGGACATAAAGGATCTGGAGCAACTGGCACTTTATCCGCTGCTGGTGAGAATGGAAAATACTTCTGGAAAACTCAGTTTCTTAAAAAGTGAAACATAAATCTAGTCATTCCACTGCTAGGTATTAACCTAGAAGAAATAAAAGCATATATCTTTACAAAGACTCATGCATGAATTTTCACAGTAGCTTTATATGTAATAACAATAACTGCAAACAACTTGAATGTCCATCAACAAGTTAATGGATAAAAAAATTGTGGTATATCCCACAGTGGGATACTCCACAGCAATAAAAAGATACATGCAATAACATGGAGAAATTACAAAATACTGTAATTATGCTGAGTGAAGTTAGACCAGAAATGATTTCATTTATATAAAATTATGAATATGCAAAGTAATCTATAGTGACTTAAATCAGATCAGTGGTTTTTTAGAGTAGGAAGAGAGGAAAGCAGAGAGAGTAGGGAGGGAGGATTACAATGGGTCATGACAACATAGGGTTACAGATGTTCTCTCGATTATGGCGATGGTGTCAAAAGTGTATATATGTCAAAACTCATCAAACTGTATATTCTAATTTCATGTGCAGTTTATGTATGTTGCTTATACCTCAATAAAGTTGTAAAATTAAAAAAGGTGTTAATTGTGAACACTGTATATCAGTGTTCATGCTTTTGCCCTTAGCTGCTGACAAAGAAGAACAGGAGACATCTCCTTTGAATAAAATGAGACTGTATAGTTGTTTAGTCAAGTAAAAACATGATTTAAAGAGGGAAATATTAAAATTTAAGGCCGGGCATGATGGCTCTCACCTGTAATCCTAACACTCTGGGAGGCAAGGCGGGAGGATTGCTCAAGGTCAGGAGTTTGAAAGCCTTGAGCAAGAGTGAGACCCGTCTCTACATAAATAGAAAGAAATTAATTGGCCAACTAATATATATAGAAAAATTAGCTGGGCATAGTGGCGCAACATAATGGGGGCCCCTTAATTTAAGGTCCCCAAGCCCTTACCTTTTTTG